AATCCATGTACATCATCATGTGACACTTTGAGGCCCTCTCAACAGCTCTGCACCATTCTCCACATCTGACAGTGTCTTTGTTTGTACAATTTGGGTGTGTGTGGCTAAAAAAGATTGATTTGTGACCAGCATTCCAACCATACCACCTACAGGAACAGCCTTCACTTGACTTGGTTCCTCTGACAATTCTTTCATCAGTTGTCATTTATGGCTGCTTTCTTCACAGTACTTGGAGGATACCCTCCTCAGAAGACCTACCTTGTCCTCTCGACCTGTGCTTTATCTGAAGTTCAAGTCTATATTGATCGCCTTTTATTCAGTAGATTTTCAAAAGATGTCTTTTTTTATTTGTATGGATTTCCTTTTTTTCTTTGGCCACCAAGAATCTTAGAGCTAAATTTTGTTTACAGTTAAAACAACATATCCTTAGCTTAGATTTGTCAGCACACATCATTATGAAGTCCCCGAGTTTTTTGTTGTTTAATTTTAAAGGTCAGTTATCTGAACTCCTTTTATTGTGAGCTGTTTTAAATTCCTTTTACAAATAGATAGGCTACAATTAGTAAAATTAGAATATCTTATAAACATCATGTGTGGTATTATGCTCTCTGAGAGATGGAGCCTATGACTAGCTGGGAATTTGTTTTGTCACTAAAAGTTAACAGGTTTCTGTACGTATATTGGCTGCTACTAATAATTCTGTTTGGATGTTATCTTACAAACAGAGAACAAATTTTAATAGCCCTGCTTTGATACTATTGACATTTCCAGCTGTCTGTCCTTTGAGACTTTGCATTGGTATCTTACTGAAACTGAAATGCCATTCAACTTCTGTTTGCCATGTTGAACTACACATTTTGTTTTATTTTTAGGTAAATATTCTATCCTAATGTCTATGTAGAAAGTTGACCATTTTAAATATAAATTGTCATCATGTAAGTTGCCATATTAACATTCTAAACCATGCCTTAACATTTAGTTATTTGATTTCTCTTACTTATGTAATGGCATAACCTTATAAAAAATCAGAACCCCCTTCTAATCCGGTATTGTGATATTATCTATATAGTATATGTTATAATATAACACTATAATATCTGGTTATGTGTATGTATTCTTAAGTTATTCTACTTCCCGTTCCTAGTTAAATATATTTGAATTACCTTAAAAGAGAACAATTCTAGTTCTTCTTCATAAATATCTCCATTAAATTAAGGTAAACAATGCACAGAGAGCCTACAAAGGGTCATCTGTTTATGAGTGATAGGGCTCTTTGAGTGGTACTGCATTCAAATCTGATGAGCAGAGGTTAGAGGAAATAGATGTTGGTCAAAGGGTATAAGCTTCCTGCTATGAGTAAGTTCAAAGTGTCTAATGTGTACTGCATGGTGACTGTAACTAACAGTACTGTGTTTTATACTTGAAAGTTGTTAAGAGAGTAGATCGTAAAAGTTACTACCACACAAAAAATAATTGCATGAGGGGACAGAGGTGTTAACTAACCTTATCGTGGAATCATTTCGCAATATATGTATGTATCATATCATCATGTTGCTTACCTTAAGCTTTCATATGTCGTATATCAGTATCAGTAAAGCTGTGTGTGGGGGGGGAGTGCGGAATAAATAAAATGTATGGACTGTTTGGTTTTTTTTAAAGAAAAGGGATAATGGTCCCTCTCTAACTAAATATGAGCCAAGTACTTTTTTATATAACTTTCCCCAAAATAAACTGTTTTGATTGCTTGGCGAGAGAGGAATTGTACTAAAATGTATGATATTATAAAGTAAAGCACTTATGCAAAATTAAATATGGTCAAGAATATGCACATTACAAAGAAAAAAGGTCTAAAACAATCTGATGAGCAGACTATGTCTGCTTTGAATTTTGTTCTGGAAAAGAATAGAACGAGCGTCATCACAAATGTCCTCAGCATTGCATTTGAATGCTTGAGAGTCTCTCAGGAGAAACTAAGTTATAAATCACAGTTAGCATATATTCGTGCATTTGCTCCACAGGTGAACTCAAGATTAGTCAGAAGCACTTTGAAGAAGCTTTCAAGAAAGTAAAATCATCTATATCAAAAAAGGTAAGAAATGCTCTTAAACATATAGAGAAAAGAGAATAGAATTGAGACCACTAGATATGAACTCTTGAAAACAAGCAAAATGGCTACCTTTGTGAGAGAGTTTAATTTTGCACGTTGCTTCCAGACTGAAGCACAGAGAGAGAATGACCTGTTGATGCCTGTTTCCCATCTCAGGGCTTTTTTTTGTTTGTTTGTTTTTTTAAATAAATTTATTTATTTAAATTAGTTTCAAGTATACAGTACATTGGTTAGACATCTATATTGTTCATAACAGGATCCCCCAATCGCTCCCTCCCTCCCCTGGCCCTCCACCTGGCCCTCCACCTGGCCATCATATTCATGCTAATTGCACTCCCTCTGCCGTGCTCCCCATCCTCATGCCCAACTATCAACTACTGATTTGTACTTCTTTAATCCTTCACCCCATTCTCCCGGCCCCCCAACCCCCCTCCCCTGTCTGTCACCAAATTGTCCACTATATTTGTGAGTCTGTTTTTGATTAGTTTGTTCTTTTTGTTTCTTAGATTCCACATATAAGTGAAATCATACTTTTAATCAGTCTCATTCAAGTAGTATTTGACTTACTCCACCCTTTTAAACCAATAGCTTCTTATATTCTTGGAGCTAAGAGTACCCAAACTGAATTCTAGGGACTTAACCATACGTTTCAAGCAAGTAAAATATTTTCACCATGAGGTCAGAGAAGGGTTCAAAAAATCACTGACTTTTCCGCACGTAAAATGTCAAATTTTACATGTTTCTTACTGTGTTGGGGTATTCTGTTTGTAACAAGTTAAAATGGTTGCTCTTAAGTGAAGCCAGGTAACTATGACACAGAGAGCTGCCAGGGAACAACAGCCAGCCCTAAGGAATATCTGGATTGGGTGCCGTCGTGTTACGTTTTGGTCACTTGGATTCCTTTTGTCTCAGGACTCCTAGAAGTTACGATATGCCTTAGCCTTGAGAACCTGATTACGGTCCAGACTAAAACTTCTTTAAATCTTTAGCCCTTTATCACCCCAGGCTCAGTATTTCTCATTATGATTATTGATTGAAAACTCTTAAGTCAAAGTCCAGTTATATGAAATGGATTGCAGTGTTTCAGTGCCTCCAATCTTGGTCTAAAGTCCTGAGTTAGTTGACTCTCGGTTAACTGAGATAACCCCTTAAGGGACTCGGGCTGGTGGTGGTAACTTTTAGGCACGTGACTTCCTTTGTATTCAGCTGGAGGAAGATAAGAGGCTCCCGAACCCAGACTGCATTTTACACCATGTTCGGAGAAACAGAAGTCTACCTCGACCGCTTAGGCATCTTTATATACTAGAGGAAATGTTTTCATTTTATTGAACATCTTTGAATAAAACACTGTCTTATTAATTTAAACCACAAATAGTTTGACAGTTAACATTACTGGCACTTTTCCTTCTGATCAACGAGAGTGATATGTTTCTTTCCAGAGATACAGTCTTTAAAATTTTGTTTTTAATTTGAAATTATTTCTTACCAACAGCCCTAGTTTTGAGGCCTTTCAAGAATGAGGACATATTGGCATAGCTCCATATTTGCCACTCCCATCTTCTAACCTTACTTTTTTTAATGTACAAGTACAGTTCCATAAGTTTTAATAAATCCTTCCGGCACCACAGTCAATATATAGAACATATTCATCACCTCAGAAAGTTCCTTATGTTCTTTCGTAGTCATCGGTCCCTTTACCAACGCCCCTCAGGTAGCCACTGAGCTGACTTCCATCATCATCCTCTCACTTTGTTTTAGAACTTGGAATAAAAGGAATCATACAATTTATTCTCATTTGTGTCTGGCTGCTTTTGCTCAGGGTAATGTTTTTGAGATTCATCCATGTCGTGTTTTCCAGTCGGCTGGCCCTTTCTCTTGCTGAGTAGCTTTCCATTACCTGCGTTTACCACAGTGTGTTTAGCCTTTCACCTGTTGGCAGGCACCTTGGCTGTGTCCAGTTCTGGGCTTTAATGAATAAAGGTGCTCGGGGGAGGCGGGGGAGTGTGTATGTACATACGTACATACATGTACACGTGTGTTTTTATTTCTCTTCAGTAAATAACCAGGAGAGGAATTGCTGGCTCTTGTGGTAGGTGTACATTTAACTTTATAGGCAACTGCCAGCCTCTTTTCCAAAGTGGCTGTTTCATTTTGCATTTTATGAGGAGTTCCTCTTTGCTCCATTCTCTCACCAACACTCAAGTATGATCAGTCTTTTACTTTTAGCCATTCTACTGGATGTGAAATAGTATCCCATTGTGGTTTCAGTTTGCATTTCCTAATGACTAAAATGTTGAGTGTATTTTCATATGCTTATTGGTTATTTGGATATCAAGCGTCCTCATCTTTCTCTCTTAAGAAATTGAGTTGTTTCTTTCATTAAGTTGCGCAAATTCTTACTTTATCCTGAATGGAGGCCTTTCATCTGATATACGTGTGCTGGATATTTGCTCCTACTCTGTGGTTTCTTTTTGTTTTCTAAAAGCACCTTTTGAAAAACGAGTTTTAAATTTAGATGAAGTCTAGTTTATAAATTTTTTTTTTATAGTTTGTGTGCTTCTATCATATGAAATCTTGACTATCCCAAATTTGCAAAAATTTTCTTTTTTTCCTAGAGATTTTATAGTTTAAGTTTTTACGTAAATGTCTATGATCCATTTCAAATTTCAAATTAATATTTGAATTCGATGGTGAACAGGGGTCATGATTACTTTTTTCTATACGTCTGTGTAGTTACTCTGGCCCTGTATATTAAGGAGACTTTCCTCTCATTGAATTACCATGACCTCTTTTTGGAGAACAGTTGATCATAGATGCACGAATCCCTGCACTCCATTCTGTTCCATTGATCTAAATATAAACTTTTACATCACTCTACCTTTTTTGCCTCTGTCTTGATTATTATAGAGACATGTCTTGAAAACAGGTAGTGTAAGTCCTCCAAATTGTTTTTCCTTTTCTCAAAATTGTTTTGTCTATTTTAGGCCCTTTGCATTTCCATATAAAATTTATGATCAGCTTATCATGTCTGCAAAAGAAGGCTGCTGGGACTTTGAATGGGATTGCATTGAATCTGTACATCAGCTGGGAGAGCAGACATCTTAAAAATACTGAGTTTTCCAATCTGTGAACTCAATATATCCATTTATTTAGATTCATTCACTTTCTCTTTTATAAAGTTACTCATTTTAAAAAAACTTATGAGACCCATTTGATTTCTTTCAGTAATATTTTGTGTACAAATCTTACACATCTGTCATGAAACTATTTCTAAGCAATTTCTATTTTTTGATGTTATTTGTAATTTTTTTTAAATTTTGTTTTCTAATTGATACTAATATATAGAAATTCATTTGGTTTTTATATACTGACTTTAGATAGCTCCTTATTTGTCACACTCTTACTTTTTTTACCTCTAAAAAGATCACTTCAGTTTTCTAGAAGCATATTTGTTTATGTTTGCTTGCCATAATTTTGAAGAGCTTCCGTGTTTATTTTACTACAGATGGCTATAAATATGTCATGCAAAGTTTGAAAACTGACCTAATTGCTCAGTTTTGCCACGTTTTCATCTTTGCTGCAGCTGTGATAATTAAGGATTAAATCTTCACTTTATCACCTTAGCTTACTTTTTGCAGGTAAATTTGAAACCAGTATATATTATTTTTATTGGAGGCTCATTACCTTTTTTCTGGTTCTAGTTCTGTTTCTGGTCTTTCACAGTTTAAAGCTGTGCTAAAGTCATTAGTTGAGGGTGGAAGGAGGGAACAGTGAGTGACGTTCTCCTCCGAGTCTCTGCCTGTGTTCCTCATCCACTCCCCCTTTGGCACTAAGCCCCTGGGCTTCGTCCGAAGATCCCTGCCTTGTCCTGATTTCTAGTGAGAGGCTCTGTCCTTTTGTGGCTCGAAGAAGACATAGTAGTAGACTGGCAGTTTGTGACAGATATCCCAGCAAATAAGGTCAGACTCTTTTTGCCAGTTGCTTCTCAGACTATAGACATGTTCTTCTCAATAGTGTTATTCTTTATTTTCTCACTTCAATGAAAATAAATGCTCTTGTCCAGTATGTGTCACTTCACAGACCAATAGAGCATAACTTATTTTGCTAGTTTGGTTTTTTTTTTTTTTCAGTATTAACTGCTCACCAGAGACCTGAGGCTAGGTTTAATAAGTGTTGACACCTTGAGGTTATTTACTCAGGTATTTGTCTCAAGTTATAGCCCTTTCTCTCTGCCTGCTGTGGCATTGTCCCACTGTCAGGAAGACAACTGCACTCAGACATAAATTATATATTTTTTCTTTCTTCCTTTATTAAAGCCACACCATAGAAACACTCCTGATTTATTAGCTTGTTCATTTTTATTAACCCACCGACCAAAGCACTTTGATTCTTTTCTTCGTGGTCCGGATTATATGGTTCATCCATTTGCCTGATTATTTCTGTCACATTGACATTTATGAGAGAAAACCCTCCCAAGTCAGAGTCCCCCATACCCCTGGTATGATAATGGGTTTTCCTAAGATCTCATTCTTCCATCCATACAAAAACATTTGTCATGGACCTCCTGTACATATAAGTCAGACACTGTGCTAGACTCCCAAGATTTATCACATAAGATGTGGTTCCTAACCTTTTGAGCAATTAAGAGTTGTATGGTAAGCATCACCGTAGATGTATACACATAGATACATGTTAACCTGGTCACCCAGCTCCATTGATGCTAGAAAATGGTTTGCAAGTACCTTTTGCTTATTAGAAGGTGTCAACTGCATGACAAAGGCAATGTAATGGATTCTATTAAAAACAGATCTGAACCTATGATTCCAGACATTGTAGAATTTTTTAATCCTTTTGGGAACATCCTTTGGAAGGCTTACACGTATGTCTTAGTGATGCTCCTTGATTCTGGTGTATTCTTTTTAATATCTTTGGTAGTCATAAATCTTTAAATCTTAAATATTTGATTTCTGGATACTACTCTAGTGAATAAGAAGTTATAGTTCCCTTTTGGAAATAGGCATAGTATGAATCTCAAATAAATAAACCAGATGACTGAGCTGATGATTACTTTGTTTGATCTTTTAAAAAATAAGCCATAACATCAGGGTAAAGAGACCACTTTCCTTGTCTGGCATTTTTACTGTCCGTGATAAAATAATTATGAAACTAATAAGGTGTGGGGAGAGAAACGGGGTGACTGGAAGACAGAGATGTGAAAGTTGACTTTTCATCCTATTTGAATTTTGAACCATGTGAATGTATTACCTATTCAAAAATTTAATATTTAAAAAATAATAATTTAAAAAGTCTGGAATACCAAAATAGTAACAATAGTTATCTCTGGAAATTAAGGATTAATTTGGAGGTTTTTTTCCTGCTATTCTTTATTTTCTAATAGTTCTACAATAAATATTGTTTGATAATTTAAAAAGTTATTTTACTATAAAAAGGGAATTGCTTTAATCTCATTACAAACAAGGCATTTATTGTTTAGCAGTGATGCTGATATACAGAGACCCTTTTATCCTATTTCAGAATTGAGCATTTCACTAATACCTATTTTATATTCACCTTTGAAACTGTTTAAGTTTACGGCCATGCTACCCTGTACAAGCCCGATCCTGTCTGATCTCAGAAGCTAAGCAGAGTCGGGCCTGGTTAGTAGTTGGATGGGAGACCACCTAGAAAGAGTAAGTGCTGTATGCGTAAAAAATTAAAAAATAAAGGATTGTAAACTGAAGGTCCTTGCATTCTGTGAGGTCAACCAAGACTTGCCTCGCCTAAAAAAAAGAAAAGAAAAAAACTGTTTGATAGGTACTTGAAAAGTCAATGAAATAAGTGTATAGAAGTGGGTTTTTTGTTTGTTTGTTTGTTTGTTTTAATTCATCTTCCAAACCAGGGGTAAACATTGAGTGCAGTCCAGGAAATGGTTCTCCTTGAATGGAAAATTCGCCCTTTCTCTGTTTCAGTATTCTGAGTTGTTAGAGATAACATCTGATCTGCCTTTATCTGTCACAGGATTATCATCAGAATAAAATATAATGGTGGTAAACTCACTTTTTAAAAGTCAAAAACATTATGCATGTGAAAGAAGATAACACTGCTCATTTCCATGAGGTTAGCTGAGTTTCTGTAAATGTTTATAAACTATCCCTCATCTCTCTTTCTTCCGTCAAGTCTTAAGTTCTCTCAGGCTAGGAGTCAGAGATCGTTGTGGTCAGACTTATTTCTTGTTCCTTATGGCAGTACAAGACAATCTCCTTTATTTGACTTTCCCCAGGCTAGTAGGCAAAGAAGCGACTTTAGTCCTAAGGCTGCTTGGTATTGTTTAAAATTATTTTAATGTCTCTACTCTTCAGTTTCGTGTTTTAATTTTTACTTATTTTTGTTTTGGGGACCAGTTAGGGGTGATCTAAAGTTGATATAGAAAAAAATAAGCAAACTGGAACAGCCAGGAAAATTGTAAAAAGATCAATCTAGGGGGTGGGGCTTAAAAAAACATATATTTTTCAAAAGCCTCAATAATGAAAACATTGTGGTAGTGGTACATGAGTTGACTGACGAACAAATGGAACAGATTAGAAAGTTCAGGAATGGACCTGAATATAAACATAATTTATACCAACAATACAAAGTGTATAATATTCTCCATACCAGGGACAGAAAGATGGACTATTCGGTGATTAATATTGGGAAAACTGGGAAGCTATCTCAAAAAATTAAAGTTGGATTCATAGTTCATACTGTATCCCAGGATACATTCCAAATGGATCAAATATTTAAATATAAAATTAAGACCATAAAAGTACTAGGAAAAAATAGGGAAGTTTTTCTATAACATCAAATTGAAATTCCTTTTCTACTCTTTACACAGACCAATAACTGTAAATGAAAAGACTAAAGAACCTGATACATAAGAATAAAAATTTCTGCATTATAAAACATTGTTAAAGGACAAGTGACCAAATAGGAAAAATAATTGCAGGTCATATTACATAAAAGAATGATTAGAAATTGGTAAGAAAAAAACCAACATCCTAATAGAGAAATGGACAAAAATATGAACAGACCCTTCACAGAAAAGGAAATGAACTTGTAAGCATATAGAAAAATTCTTAACTTACTGATAATAAAAGAAAAGCGACTAAGATACTACTTTTTACCCATTAATTGGCAGAAATCTCAAAACTTGATTTCACACTGTCGGCCAGGAAATGTCAAAACAGTTGCTTTCATTTGCAGCTAGCGAGGTGTCAATCTGTACAGCCCTTTTGATGGACCGAATTATAATCACAACAGAAGTTGACCCAGCAATTCCTTTATATGGATTTATCCTCAGAAATACACATCAATATAAAATTATTACATGGAGCATTGTGTATAATAGCTGAAGATAGAAACTCCGAATGATCATATAATGAATTCCGATGTAACTACTTTAAAAGACTGGAGAGTACCTCCTAAATATATTGTGTAAAGGAAAAAAGCAGGGATCATGTGTATGATAAGCTACCATTTGTATTAAAAAGAGGGAAAAATAATGAATATTAGAATTTGCCCATAAACACAGAACGAATGATACAGTAATTGGGGGCTGAATATGAAAGATCCCTTTTCACTTTAGAACTGTTTATGTATGTTTTAGTCGTGTAAACATTTGATCTATCCAAAAGAATAACAAAGTTGGATTTAGAAAAGACAGCACGCTGCGAGTGTTTCTGGGATAAACACCTGGGAGTGGAGCGACTAGTGTCGGAGTGAGACTGCCCCAGCGTCGGCCTGGGGCGCGCAGCGGGACAGCGCCGCTGGACGACGCTGGCAGCTTCTGACAGATGTTCATCTTGCATGAGAAGCCTCTGCTTTTGCCTCTCATTCCCCTGGACTCAGCACTTTAGAATTCTGTTTTCTTCACTAATTAGATAAGAATTTTTTCACCTGATTGTGAGGGCAGACTTTAGCCAACAGTTATGAGCGTCACAGGCACTCCCTGGAGAAGGGAGTGTGTGCGGAACGGAGGTGCGGGGCGGGGAGGCCCGCGCTCTGCGTCGTCTGGTCGGGCCGCCATTCTGGAGAACCACCGACGGGGCGGCTCGAACAGCATTCTGGAGGCCGGAGGCCGAGGGCCAGGTGTTGGCCGGGTTGGTTCCTTGTGGGGCCTCTCCTCAAAGATGACTGTCTTCTTTCTGTGTCTTAACATGGTCGTCCCTCTGTGCATGTCTGTGTCTTAATCACCTCTTCTTATGAAGACACCAGTCAGGGTGAGGTAGAGCCCACCCTAATGACTTCATTTCAACTTAATTGCCCCTTTCAAGGCCCTGTCTCCCAGTACAGTCCCTCTGAGGTCCTGGGGGTTAGGACTTCAGCATATGAATTGGGGAGGACATAATTCAGCCCATAACTGAGGCCAGCTCTATGTCTGTCTTCTCCCCTCTTCTCAGGACCAAATGATGTATGAAGCTCTGAGGCAGGCCCTCAGCCAGTGACTTCAGCGGCAGCCCTCGGAGGGTCACTGCGTCAGTGGCACAGAAGCCCACACGCTCTGGGCTGTCACTTTCAGCCTGACACCAATGTGGTCTCCTGGGAGTGTTTCATTCTCAAATTAATGAGGCCAAGCCGAAGCTGAAGATTTCTTTCCATCTGGCCAACCTTGTGTGGAAACATCCTACTCATCTTAAAGAAAAAGAAACCAATTTAAACTGCTGAAATAAAATAACTGATACTTTTTTTAAAATAAATGTTTATTTTCAAACAGTCTTGACTGTATCATCGAAAAGTTCATTACAGTAAAAGAACTTTTTTTCCTTGAACACCTGAGAGTAAATTGCCAACCTGCTGCCCTGTCACCCCCAAATGTTTTCATGTCTGTTTTCTGCACACCAGGATATTCCCCTGCATAACCAGCCATCAGAATCAGGAAATTGGCAGTAGTCATTGCTGCCAGCTCCTCCTGAGGTTTCCATTCCAGTTTATCCAGTTGTCCTAGTAATGCCCTTGATGACAAAAGGATCCGGTTAGGATTAGCTTTTGCAATTACTTGCTTTTTCTCTGTAATTTCCTTACAGTCCAGAACGGCTCCTCTGTCTTGACTTTTACCACTTTTGAAGATTACAGGCCAGTTACCTTGCGGACCGCCTTCGGCGTGGAGTTGTCTGAGGTGTCCTCAGTGGGATTCAAGTCATGCATCTTTGGGAGGAATATCAGGAAGCGAAGCTGTGTTCTCATTGCATCCTGTCTAGAGGCATGTGTTTTCGATGTGCCCGTTACTGATATTCACTTTGGTCACTTGGTTAAGGTGATTGTGCCAAGCGATTGTGCCAAGGTTATTGTGTACACTATAAAATCAGGCTCTTCCTTTGTAATTCATATGTATTTTGTGGGGAGGTACTTGGAAACAGTGTAAATACCCCATTCCTCATCACATCCAGGTATTACTATGTTTTTAGTGTGTTAACCCATTACTACCGTTATGTGGTGTTCAGATTGCCCCAGGCCAGTCGGGAGCCCCTTCATGCTGGCCTCTGGGTACCTCTGATGAGTCCCTAGCGGATACTTTCTGAAGGGTTTAATTTGCATCGTATTTAATCCCCTTCCTCATTTACAGTGCTGCTCACAGTATGTTCTGAGGATGTGTAGATGGGTTTGGTTACCTAGTTTTTTTCTTTCCAAAACTCCTCCTCACTCTAGAAAATGTTTTATTTTACTTTTAAGGTGGTATTGATAAAATGGAGAAAGTAATAATAGCTCAAAGCAAATCAGGTAAATAAGAGTCCTTTTTTTCAAGGAGTTCACAGGGCACAAACGGACAGGCATGAAGAGGAGGGTACTATAGGATCCCGAAGAAGCAACTCCAAAAGAAAAAGCAAATCTGGATCGTGCTAGAGATCGATGATTAAGAATGAAGGGAACATTGAAATGATCTTCTGGAACGTCCCCGGACAGCCTGTTGATGGTGCACTCTGCCTGCGCTGGCAGATAATCCTTGCCCCGAGTGGAGGGAGAGACTCGGCAAAGTTCCTTCATAAGAACCTTCTTAGGTGTGGAGGTAAAAAGTCCATGTGATGTCACAGCCATCGACCTTCTGTCTTCCGAGACCATAGGAAGTCTCAAGATGGAAAAACTCAAAGCAGAACGTGTTTACCTTCGTTCCCCATCTGTGTTGACGCTTGATCTTCTTCCCACAGTTCTCGTCACCCAGGCTAGGATTCAAAGTCCTCGTCAGTTCTGATTAGTGATCAGTCACTCATGTAGAAATATTTCTGACTTATGTCTCTTGCATTGTTTTCACAGGCACTGACCTAGTTCAGGCCATCAACACCTTTCATAAAATTAGCCTAATCTGTTCCAGTCTCTTACACACTAAAACCAATACTTTGCCTTTCCAAAGTGCTCAGCTTAACATTCTTCAGTAGCCTAAACTCAGCAGTCTAGTAACACGTGGACTTTTGTAATCTGCTGTCAACCCACCTTTGGCACCTGTCCTGCCCCCTCCCCGCCCCCCGACTGGATTTATTGCCATTCCAGGGAAATGCCACGTTCCTTCAGCCTTTGCTCCCAGTGCTCCGAGCACCTGGAATGCCACCCCCGCCACCACCCGTACCCAGGGCCTGCTCCCGGGTTTGAAATGCCACTTTCTGAGAAGTTTTGCTCAATCCCTTCCTTTGCTTTCTGTCAACATGCGTTTTGTGCTGACCTGGACTTTGGCTCTTACCTTAGCTCAGCTCTGTTGAAGCAGGCTGAGCCTCTCGGTGGCAGAGTCCCTATTCATTTTGACACCTGTAGCCCTTGGCGTATAACAAGAACAAAATAACTTTAATTGCACAATGGAATCGCCTTATGGCACAGAGCATGTTAACATGGGGGACATTTGATGGAGGTTTAACGTTTCCACCCCAAGCATCTACCGCAGGGACTTCGCGGTTCTCTGAGGAGAGACCTAAGCTTTGGAGGCGGGGCTTCCTCTGGCATCTGGTTCCTGCCCTTAGCAATCCCTTCTCCCTGGCTGAGGAGCCCCTGAGTATGCGTGAGGCCTTCAGTGGAAACTGTTTCCAAGAGCTGGCCTGCACGAGCATTCTCTAGAACAAAAGCTTTGAAGAGGAGATTATATATATTTATTACAACAGAAATACTAATTACCTTCTCCTTTTGCACAGACAGGAAAACCTGTTCTCCCACTTGGGCTGACCAACGGCGAGCCTGGTCAGTGGACAATGGGTCTTCTTTGAGGCTCCAGGATGTTCCATTGGCATAAATGTTCGCGGAAAGCTAGATGAGTTTCATGATAACAGAGGACTTTAGAAGTGAAGAGACTGGATGAGGGCAGTAGCATAGTTCGGGGAACTGTGGAAATGTTCTTTGTAGTATATGAGGAAATACGTTTTTTAAATTAAGCCCTACCTGAAAAAGGAATCAAAAGCTAATGAATTCAACAAACACTTTTTGAGCACCTACTTCGTGTCTGCTTTTTTCAGTTGTCTTTTTTATTATTCTCAGCTCCCTAAGAATGTGGATGTTGAAGTAATGATCGGATTCTCGAACCCTTTATTGCTAAACTCAGTTTGTAGTCCAGCTTTGATTCATCAATTAAAAATGAAATTATTCGTGCGTGTTTTAATTTTACACCTTGCATGACACAGGTTTGGAGCATCTGTGCTTTAATATAAAATGTCTGGCTTCATCATTGTTGCCAGGTGACATGGATGGCGGAAGAAGGTGGACTTACAAACATGTCTTACTAACATCAAAACCGAGACGTAGAGCGTATTCGTTTTATCTTTGAGAAAACTGAGGCTCAGAGAAGTTAAGCAACTGACCCTTGGACACAATTAATACGTGGCATCTGGGAATTCAAACTCAGGACTGTCTTAACTCTAAAGCCATGGTCCTCCCACATCCTACCAGCTTCTGTGGCAGAAAGTGGACTTCTGTGTCATGTCCCCTGGGGAACTACTAAAACGCCTGCCTTCATTAACTAGTGTGACATAGAGTAAGAATACTCTTTACTAAGCAGTGGATAACATTTCTTTTAGTTGGACTCAAGCAATTAGAAACCTCTACACAGTAGCCAGTCAGTAAATTCTGAAGCTGTGAAAAACAGGCATCTCTAGTTAGCTCCTGGAGAGGGAAGAGCAGAGATGCGGACACGCTGCCTCTTGCACCCCCAGCCTCCTTAGCACCCAAAACAACTAGCACTACCCTATAAAGCTAAAATGCTACGATAGGAGCTCCGTCGCCCAGGTCTAATGTCTAGGTTCCGGGCCTTAAAATTCTGGTTGCATGTTAGACACACACACCCTTATCTGTGCCTGCGCCCAGAGCCTTGGGATTTTCTGTTTACCTCTTAAGGGCTTTCTGAGGGCACCAGGGCTAGCCGAGGTTCTTCCAGGCTCAATTCTTGACCCTCCTAGTTTTCTGAGACTGTCCATTTTGACACTTTCTGAGTCCAGATCAGAACATCCCAGCTGGTGGGCTGTCTTTCAGGAGGCCCTCAGAGAGGAGAGGTGGGCCTGGGGCAGCTGGAGACCCCCCGGCCAATTGTCTGCAAGCAGTCTTGTCCATTTTTAACTCTTTCGCCCTTTCTGACAAAACTGTCAAAGGATGTGCTCCACCAAAATGAGGGAGGATAAACTTAGGGAGAAATGGAAGATGTAGGATAGAGGGGATGGAAGGGAGGATACTGGAGCTCTCCGGGAAGACAGCTCTGCCCTAGACCAAGAGGGCAGCCAGTCCAGACTGCAGCAGTGACTCAGAAAACACACATGTTAAGAGTTATAGTCACATGGCAACCGACTGCCCTCCTGCAAGCTTTTGAACACGGAGACAGAAGGTTCAAGGTGTGCCTGGCCCACTTCTTATCTGTACTTGGCTGGTTCTGTCTATTCACAGAAGAGGTGAACACCTTACTTCTCAGAGCACCTGGGGACACTGATTTCACCTCAGACATATCTGTTTCAACTTCCGACAGCCAGGGTGAATCTGGAGGCGGAAGAGATAGAGAGGCCCACTTTCTTTTGACCATGTTTCTGCTAGACAAGTAGCACCTTGTTCACGCGGTGCTACATGCCCTCCGAGGGGACCCAGAGAAGACTCAGGGAAGCTGAAGCCAGACCCTGCTCAGGCTGCCCTGGGGAGGTGTGTGTCTAATGGCATTGTCACCCTTGCTCTGCAAAATGAGGTTTGGACTTGCTGCTCAGCTTTTCAGAATGAAACAAAAGCTTTTTTTTAGAGATCTGCACATAGGTAAGACAGTTGAAAAGAAATGCAAGGGAGTGACAAACGAAGTCAGAGCAGTGGTTACCTCTGAGGAGCAAGGAGGTTCTGTGCGGAGGCGACCCTGGGGTCCTCCGTGGTACTTGTTCTGCTGCTTTCTTTTTTGTGACAGTTTATTGAGGTAGGATTGGCACACAGAAAGCTGTACTTAATGTATACAACTTGATGGATTTGGAGGCGTTTCCTCCTGCCTCCTTAGTTAATTTTTTGGTTATGTGATAAGAACACTTGACATAAGATCTACCCTCTTAGCGAAGTTCTAAATACAGCTGACCCTTGAATAACGTGAGTTTGAATTTATACGTGGATTTTGTTTTCAATAAAAACTAACTTTTTTCTCATGATTTTCTAATATTTTTTCTCTAGCTTTTAATACTATATTTTTTATACTATAAGAATATAGTATATGATACATAGACAAAATAGGTGTTAATCAACTGTTTAGGTTCTTGGTCAGCAGTAAGGTATTAATAGTTAAGTTTTTGGAGAGGCAAAAGTTATATGTGGATTTTCAACTGTGTCGGGGTCGCTGCCCCTCAGC